CCATTGGGAATCTCCGAGCTGTAGGAAGAAATACGGGGAGAACAAGCCTGGACACGTACTAACACTTGGCAAATGCAAGTTTGCCAAGCCTTGGAAGATGGCCGACAATCATTGACAGATGCCGCCGGTTCCCGCCGAGCCGGCAGCAGGACCTGCACCGCCAGATCCTGCTGAGTTAGCAGCAACACCACCACCCGAGGCGCCAGCAGCATCACCATTCACGTGGTTGAGAGCCGGACCTACCGCGGGCGCAAGCAGTCACGACTTTACTGTTGGAAGACATGCTGGTGAGCCTGCTGCAGGGCAACCTGCCTCGAGTAAAGCTCGTAGTTCGGATGGCCACCTCCGGCTACCACAGGTTAGAGTCAGACGTGGTCGACAACAAGGTGGAGAAGCACCTCCACCACCACCAGCGGGGGACCCTGCTGAGCTGCTGCACGACCGCGACTACCAGACTGGTCACGGTCCGATGTACAAATCAGTTTACAAAACTTACGAAGCCTTGACCCCAGCGTGGTCACGCGCGAGTTGCGAAAGTTACACCTACGTTGGTTCCATGCTAAGGAGCCTAGGACGACTCATCTTAAGCAAGATAGGTTTAGACAGTGTCAGACTCAACTAAATCAAAGGTGTCTGCGACGCATGCCGAGAATGTAGAGCTTGGGGTAAGCCTGTGCACACTGTTATGCCCTCGACTGCATTACCTGGCAAATTCAATGAGGAGGTGGAATGTGATCTGATGCTCTACAAATAAGAACACAAGATATCCCACAGTATCGATCGCTGTATACGGTATGCTACTGGGACCGAAATGCCAGACAAGACTATGACCAGCATCCTGGATGCATATCAGTGCTGGATGCAGTGTGGACTGGCAAAGGTACTGTACTCTGATGGAGTGAGCGCCCTTAACAACGACACTGCGAAAGCAGTCCTTCATGCAAAAGGCATTGAACTCAGGATACGTGCGCGTGGACAGCGCGCTACATCGATCGAGGCCGGAAATGGCATCCTACGCCATTTACTTCACGTCATGGAGGCTGAACCCAATAAGTTAGATATACCTTTTGCGTTCACCCGACTTCTGCACGAAGCCCTGTCTGCCGCCAACGCGTTCACCTTCTATAGCGAGGTGTCTCCATGCAACGCTTTCTTGGACGGCAACCAGCAATGCTCCTTGACCGACTTGTCTTGGAACACGAGCAGCCGACGGAAACATCGGATCACCCTCGTGAACAGACGATACGCAGGGCTTGTATGGAAGCTATCACACATGCCACAGCAGTAGCTAAGACCAATCTTGCCTTACGCACTAAGACGACGATTACCGGTCAGCACTGTTATGATAAAGGAAGCTTGGTCGATTGCCATCGCCCTACGGCCGCGAAGGATGACCGGGGGGGCTGGAATGGCCCGTTCCCAGTTGTAAAGAATGATTCCGAAAGGGGCCAGGTCATCATCCGAGTGGGCAATCGAGATGTTCAAGTACAATACGGCGATGCAAGGCATTCATTATACATTTAAGCACTCATAGCCCGAGAGGTTGGCTCCGACAACAATGCACTACGCACAGTGTTAACATTCGTAGCCGGCCTATCAGCGGGGAGACCTGCTCTGACTTTTGGCTATATGCCGACCAAGAAAGGGGCGCTTCAGATGACGACCGCAAGCCGTCTATCTCCTAAGGTACACTTGGCTCTACAGAACCTTATCAGAAACTTCTTTCGCATAGAGAGTGTAGATTCAGTCATATTAACCAAGAGTCTCCATAAGCTACCTCCGGTTACTCATGCTGGTTCATTGCGACAACGAACCATCACATGATGACGGACGGCTCTCTACGATTTACAAAAGTCAGAGGCTGATCTTGAGTCGCACGTCGTGGAGGCATGGCATGCATAACTATAAGAGGAAAGGGAACTGTTGGAGACAACTCCCCGAGGACCTCTTTACCATACCTACACAGATGGTTCCATATCAAAGCGCGCTGATCACTGTAGCTGATGAACAGCGGGGACACCTGCCGAAGTGGGGGCGCACTCACGACTCCTATACTGAGGAGACGTACTGCGCCCCCATGTGCGCCATGGTCGAAGACGACAGCTACGGACTCGACTCAGACGAAAATGGTCGATATGCCGAACTATGCTTTACGGCAGAAATGTCGAAGGTATTCTTGTCCGAGCAACAAAGCATGATATTACATGCCGACCGGTTGACGTTACCGCCGCTGCAAAGCGAGCTGTGGTCGTCAAGGGAGACGGCCTCCTCGCTAAAGCTGACATTCAGGCGAATCCCGATAAAGTGTCGAAGGCCCTTAACGTTCATTTCAAGACAGGGTTCGACAACACATGCTTTATTGCGCAGGAGAACGCCAAAGCGTCGAACATCATGACTTCGAGATACGTGTACAAATGGAAGTTCGTGAAGAACGAGAAGGGCGAGATGGGGCGTACCATCCGACTACGCTCGGTTCTCCGAGGTTTCATGGACCTTGAAGCTTTCGACGTAGAAACAGTTTCGGGAACAGCGAGACGGTCGAGCCAGAGGCTACTCGCTATCTCGGCAGCGTGCAAGAAGCAGTGGGTCATTGCGTCCCTCGACATCAACATGGCCTTCCTGGAGGGATTGACCTATCAGGAACTTGCTGAGGCTACTGGTGTGGTGTATTGTATTTTACCACCTGGATCAGCCACAGTGCTCCGGACTCTCCCAGGATTCGCACACTACGACGAGTCAAAACGCTGCCTAGAATATTTAAAACCAGGCACTGGCACTAAAAACACTCCACATATTTTCTCACTTAAGCACAGGAGGACCACCAGGGGATTTGGTCTCCGACCGACGTCCTACGACGAGGAGTTCGAGACGAGCAACAGTTTGCTCACGGCCAAGCATGTTGGTGACATTAGTATGGCGGGCACTAAGGACACCATTGACACATCTGTCAAATTCGTTGGAGGTACTTCTGGTAAGTGTAAGCTCAACAAGCACACAGATACCAAATGTGCTGTGAGATACACCAAGGACGAGGACAGCAATGTCACTTTGGATCAAGATGAATATATAAAACGGCTCCGTCCTATACAACTTCCCGAACTAACCAGCGCCGACGCTGACGCTCAGGCAACCAAGATGGCGGCAGACATGTTCGTCAGCCTCAGGGGTCACTAATCACCCAGGTGTGGTTGATGGTGCACGTTGCACCTCTACAACGTGTCCCAGAACCGACCAACATTCAAGTACGACGACTGTGCGCGATCACCAGGAAAGCTACAGGCCTGCCTGGAAAAGATCGTCTACCAGGCGATGAACCCGACGGGCGAGGTCGACCTACATAGCGACTCAGGAGATCGACGCCTGAGTGGAGACGCCGATGGCGACGTCAAAGGCTATGATATTCGCGGGGCAAACCTGCTACGACGTGGAAACAAGTCATCTGGTAAGCCTGTCGTTCACCTGATTGATGCGCACTGCAAGTCTCACCTCTTGCAGGCCCGCTCGAGTTATTCAGCAGAGAAATTAGCAACAGCCCATAATTTGGGGAACTGTTATCCCACGCTTGTGACTCTGCACGAGCTCCACGCGGGGCCGCTCACGCCCACTCAGTTGAAAGATATACTTGAGTTGGGTGGCCTGAGCATCAAGATCACTTTGACCATCGATGCTGAGTCTGTCTTCAAGTCCTTATCAGGCAAAGACTTGAAGAAGCCGACTGGGTGTACCCTTTTAGGACACATCAGTTGGATACGAGAGATGATGGAGCGCGGAATCGTGCACAGCATTCAGTGGTGTGATACCCGCGAAATGACTGCGGAAAGCCACACCAAGGGGAGCATCGACAGAGAACTGCTCCTACAAATCATGGGAGGTATACAGACCTTCGAACATGACCTGAAGAGACATACTCCATATCGGGCCAGCCAGACATCAAGTTCTGACGCCGCCTGATGAGTACGTCACATACATGCGAGGCAACTTGCCAGCGGGCCCACCTACCTTTAGGCCCGCTTCCTTTTCTGCCCTTTGTGTATGTTAGCTGCTGCACATGCTGTGTAGGGGCGACGGGCTCACGCTTCGTCTCCCTCCCCCCGACTCTGAAGCGAACTGACGGACGTAAGGAGTGGAAGCGAGCGTGCGCCCGCGGCCGCGTCGGCTCAAGCGGCCGGCCGCTCAAATATGACTGTGCCTCACTGCGAGGCACACAATCGCTATCGAGACCAAAAGGATCTTCATATTGCTTGACATGGCATTTCTTGTCATAGTGGGACTATCGGTACTACGGTACAACAGAATTGGAGCTTGGCTTCGCCTGGGGCGAAGCTGTTGGCTGGGCCTTCCAGCCCCCTTCAAACTACCACATCTTGAAAACGAGTCGCCCTCCAGACGTGACAATTTGTCAAGCTTCAGAAACACAATGGTGAGGAAGTCTCAGGCGAAACGCCCGCAGGAGCAGCAGGAGGAGGACGACTAGGGGCGCCATCGGGAGCAGAAGGGTGCTAAAATGCAGAAGTGCGATCTGTGGCAATGATCGGGGCGGGCGCCTGCCGGGGGGGGGATTGCGAGACGGGGGGAGGGCGGGGGCGAGATGTGCCGGACGCAGCTTGCTTTTATGGCACGTGGCCGCCGCCGCCGCCTGGAGGCGCCGGGAAGGCCAGCTACACGTCGTTGATTCCCCAATCGGGGGCAATGTTGGGGGGGGATGGGCTCGGGGAGGGACGCACCGACCCCCAATCGCCCATTGATCGCCGGTAGGGGCCCGATAGCCCACCCAGGAAGGTGCGGTTTCGCCAGCGGGGGCCCATGGCCTGTCCATCGGCGAGTATCGTCGATTCCAGGTCGATGCCGCCCCCCGCTCAGCAGGTCCACTCCCCGAAAGTTGCCCCTTGCTTGCCCCTTTCTTCGCCATCCCCCCCTCGCGTTCGCCCCGAAGACATGGGAGGCGACGGGACGGAGGCGTCGAGGGGGCAGTCCGTTGATGGGGAGGGAGGGGGAGGGAGGGCTTCACCCTGTGGCTGTGCGGAAGCATCGCCTGGTACTTCTCCGGCGGGAACGGCGACTACAGGGCCTCTGGTTGGGAGAGCGGTGTCATCAGCTACTTCTTGTTCATAGACCCGGGCACTCAGACAGGCATCGATGCGTATGACCCGTTGCAGGTTCATTTGGGGGCATCCGTTCTTTTTTTTGTGCTGGCCATCCGCAAATCATATGTTTGCCAACATGGACTGATGTCATGTGTTGTACTGAAGAAGGTGTCTCGGCTATCTGATGCAAGCTTTGTGACATACGTAATATCATGTTGTGTAGACTATGTAAGTGTGGTCGATGTGGTACAAGCTATACGGTGCAAGCTTTCAGGTGCAGGCTATGCGGTTGTAAGTTTGTCATGTAGTTTGAAACCTTGCGGTGCCAGCTATGTGGAGCAAGTTAAGTGGTGTAAGCTATGCGATACCGTCTATGTGGCGTACGCTTGTATGGTGCAATCTGCGGGTGTGAGCTATATCGTGTAAGTTCTGCGGTACAAGCGATGTGGTGAAAGCTGTGTGGTGCAATCAACCTTGCAGAACTTGAAGGCGTCTAGTCCACTGCTCGCTCACTCATGCCACACTCCCACCCGCAACTTGTTGTGCACAGCCCATGCGAACGCAATTGCGGTGAGTATTTGGCGATAGCTGATGCATCTCTGCGGCTGCGCTAGCGCGCGCAAGCTCGCGCGCAGAGTGCAGAGCGGCCAGCTGGTCTGGCAAAGCCCACGTGGCCGCGATGACGGTTTTCCGATAGGGACTTCCCAGCGCGTCTCAAAGGCCGCGCTGGCGCGTGGAATCTTCAGTGAGCGTCGGGGATTCGGGCGGGCGCGGTATTTTCACGATGGCGCTGACAACGACGGCAGCGATGATGATAGTAGCGGCGGTGGTGGCGATGACGATGGGGTAGGGTCGCACGTAAATTGCATTACCCCAGGGTGTACCAGTGACCCCCGCGGGGAGGGTGGTGGCGGCGATCTTGCTTTTGAGAGGCGGGCCCGTGCGGTGCAGGCCGGGGCAGGCACCAGGCGAAACACCTCGGCCGGCCCATCCACAGTCGCCGGGCAAGCGCGCAAGCATCGCTCCTGGGAGTACCCACGGCAGGTGCAGACGGTGGCCGTCACGGTGTCTGTCCTCGGCTTCGTCTGGAACCTGACGGTTATCAGAGAGACGCCAACAATACACCACACCACCAGCCCTTGCCAGGTCCATCTTGGGACCTGGGCTGGTGCACAGACCTCCAGGCCCAGGCCAGGAGGGCCTGTACACCAGCCCAGGGCCCAGGATAGGCCTGGACAGGGACAGGGCTGGTGGTGGTGTATTGTTCGCGGCTCTCCCAGGTCATGGGCACGCTGGTGGAGCTGATCCGAGAGACGCTCAAGCGCTACAAGCGGGTGTACCGGCACCTCCACCTCAGCGGGCACCTCCTCGTCCTCGGCTGGAACGACAAGACGTTCTTCCTGCTGAACGAGCTCCTCTCGGCCGAGCGCGACGCCGGGTTCCACGGCACTCGCAGCGGCCTCTGCGGCCGTCGCAGGCGCCGGCTGCAGATAGTGCTGGTGGCCCCTCGCCCCGAGGTTCGGGGGCAACGACAGGGGGGATAGGCATTGGGGGGGTGGGGGATGCATCGACCACCAATCGCCCATTGATCGCCGATAGGGGCCCGATAGCCCCCACCCGCCCAGGAAGGTGCGGATGCACGATCGGGGGCCCATCGCCGATCCATCGGCGATGTATCGCCGCTTCCAGGTCGATGCATCCCCCCCCTGGGCCAGTCCCCCTCTCTATCGTTGCCCCCCAGAGGTCGAGATGGCGCAGGAGGTGCGCATGTACTTCCACGGCACCAGCAAGGACACGAGGTGCATCCACTTCTGGGACGGCGACCCCACAGACAGGACACGAGGGGGGGGGGGGGGACGGGCACACGGGGCAGGGGACGGAGGCGCGAGCCGGAGGGGTGGGAGGGCGAGCCTGGCAGACAGGATCGAGCTGATGAAGGTGAGCACCTCCCAGGCCGAGAACATCCTCGTCATGGGCTCCGACAGGCGCGGTGCCGACCAGGAGGTCATCCGCACCTTGCTCGCGCTCGCCGCCCTCCCCGGCGGCCCCCCGAAGGGCCAGGTCTTCGGCGAGATCCGCCACCCGGAGAAAATGTCCGTCATCGGGACGCTCCTGCCGACGGCGGAGGCCATCGTCACGCGCACCGAGGTGAACCGTGTGCTCGTTCTGCGCGCTCTGGTGTTCAGAGGAGGAAAAGGTACCGATACCAATGCTCGTCCTGGAGAGCCCTCGTCGCCACGGCTGGGTTCTCGAGATTCTGGTCTGAGCGCACCTCGGAAGAGCAACCGCAATGCTTCGGAGCTCCGTGCGGACTGCTGGCCCGGAGGCGCCGCCGGGGGGTGTCCAGCGCCGATCCAGAGCATCCGCGCGAACCTCCGACAGTTTGTGCTCACGCCGTTCGGTCGTATCGGTGCACTCTGTTGTACACCCAGGTGCCGTCGGTGGGGTTCTGCATGAAGGAGATGGCGACGTTCACGGAGGGCACCAACGAGCTGTACTTGCGGCCTGTGCCGGCGGAGCTCGTGGGGTGGAACTTCTTCGACGCCGCCCAGCTGTTCACCCGCAGCGTCGTGTGCGGCGTGAAGGCGGGCGGGGGGCCCCCGAGGCTCATGCCCGAGGCGAGGACCGAGCTGCAGGAGGGCGACCAGCTGATCACCCTGGCCCGCACGCAGGACGACGCGGACATATGGCAGCACGACGTGACCCGAGAGGGCTCGAAGCCCCTGCCGCTGCACGCGGACGGCGAGGTTCGGCGGACCGAGCAGAAGCACCTCACCGTGGGCTCCAGCGTCTCGACGTCGGACATCCTGCAGGAGGACGGGCAGGTCAAGCTGGGGCCCTCGGTCGAGGGGCCGAAGATCGTCCTGGTGATAGGATGCCCACACGACTTCCCAAACTTCCTGCAGATCGTGGACTGCTACCTGGCCGCTGGCAGCACCGTGCACCTGCTCTCCATGAGGGACATGAGGTTCAGGAGTAAAAACGCAATTACAAACACAAACGCAGACACACACACAAACATAATCGTCAATTCCCAGGAAATATTGGAAATATAGGAAGTGGAGGGGAAGACGAACATACAGGCAATATGGACAGTTAGGAATCCTGGGATTTGTCTCTGTTTATTCGTGTGTCCCCCGGCCCTTTCAGAGGTGGCGCGACGCGACCCTCAAGGCCTACATGGGCGACGCGGGCGTCAGCGTGGAGACGGGCTTTGGGCTCGAGCGGGTGGAGGTGCACCACTACGTGGGTGACAGCACACGCAAGGGCGACCTCGCGCGGCTGCCGCTGGCGCAGGCCAGCTGCGCCATCATCCTGGCCGACCGCGCGGACGGCGAGGACCCGATTGACGCCGACACGCGGACCCTCACCACGGCCATCGCGCTGAAGGCACTCCTGGGCGAGCTGAGGGACAGGAAGCGCAAGTGCAAGATCGCCACCGAGATCTTGGACGCCGTCGGCGAAGACGGACAACCGCAGCTGCTGGGCGGAGCGCATCGCCCCCTGGCGGCCACCCGAGGCCGACCTCCACCCGCCAGCGGCGGTGCCCGGCGCGCGGCACCCGACTCCGAGTGTGCCCCGCGGAGGTGATGATCGCTGGCGGGCCAGGGTCGGCCGTGGGGAGGCGCCAGCGGCGATCCGCTCGGCCCAGCGGCTGCGGCTGTCACCGCTTCGCCCCCGAGGACGCGGAGACCGAGAAGGTGATCTCGATCAACTCGAGCGTGCGGAAGACGGGCTCGTTCATGTACACCCGATCCATCGAGGCCGGGCTCCTCGCGATGGCGGTGGCGCAGAAGACCAGCTTCACCGTCGTGAAGCAGCTGCTGGAGCGGAGGAGCGCCGCCGGGTACATCGTCGCGGTCCCGGTCGGCCGCCACATCACGGGGAGCGAGACGCTGTCCTTCCTGGACCTGCGGGAGCGCCTGTGGCGGAGCTGCCGTGGCATCCTGTTGGGCTGGAGGATCTCCCTGACCCCGTCCTCCTGCCTTTCCTCTCCACCTCCTGGCCAACTTCGAGCCTCGGGCGCGTGGCCACAGCGGCACTTGGCTTCCGGGGAGGACGGGGGCTCGTCGCCACGGCCAGCCGCAGGCTCGCAACAGCTGTGCTTCTGGACCCCGGGCAGGGTCCCGGGGATCGATCTGGAGAGCTGCCGTGGTCTCAGCTCGCCCTGCCCCGAGTGTCCGGCACGTCCTCCTCCTCCTCCTCCTCCTCCTCCTCCTCCTCCTCCCGCCGAGGAGGCAGAGGGACCGCTACCCGAGCCTGAACCCGCCCGACAAGGCGGAGCTGCTCGACTGGGAGGACATCGGGCGGCAGGCAGAGGGAGGCTCACGGGAGGCGTCAGGACATCCAGTGCATGGACATTATGTTCGAACCCTGTGGCCCAGGATGCCCCCCAGACCCCCCGAAATTAATATTGATGGCGTGGCGACGGGGGGACGGTGAATGGACAGAAATATTCGAACCCCAAAGCACCGCCTTTACTGAGATCAACATTGATGTCGGGGGCGCGGGGGTGATTTAGAATCTCCCTCAAATGTGTAAGGGTTCGAATATATTGTCCATGTACGGTCCCTCTCGTCCGTCATTGGTGGGACGCGGCCCTCGCGCGCGCTTCGTCGTTCTGGGTCGCGAAGCTCGGGCTCGGCCCAGCCGTCCCGGAGTGCGAGGCAGCTCGATCGGACGCCCTCTCGGAGCGTGCCAGAACGCCATGGACCCGCCGCGGGTCCCGATGCGTCCACTGTATTCAGCGGTCCTCAGAGATCCTCGTGTCCGTGCGGTAGGGCCGTGCGGTTTCGGCGCGGCGACGTGGGCGCAGGATGTTTATGGGCTGAAGGCTCCAATGGCAGCCTTAGGGAGGGCCCGACCGCGAGGAAATGTTCAGTGCTGAGCGGCTCATGCGGCGCACGCGGTGACAGAAGCCACAAACCGCGCTGTTGTAGCAGGGGGTTGCCGCATGTGGTTTTGTGGGTATCCCCCAAAGAAGAGAAACTTGCACGAGCATAAGTTTTCGAAGGTCCGCGCGGGTTTATCGGATCGGCGCTGGCCCCTCTCCATGGCGGCGCTTTCTGCGCCACCCTGGGCGGGCTCCGCGCGCCAGGGCCCGTGGACGGGCGTCCATCGCCGATCCGAGAAGCCCAAGCGGACCTCCACAAGTTTATGTTCATGCGGGCTCCGCCTCTTCCCAAGCCCGCCCTCGTCCCCCAGACCACGGGCGCAGCTGATCATGAAGGCAAAGCGTGGTCCACGGGACACCAGCCTTTCGCCGCGGGCCGTTGCTTCACGGCCCTCGGAGCCTCACAGAGGAGCCCTCGGGCCGCGAGGTCAGGGAAGCCGTGCAGAGGGTAAGAGCATAATCTTACGCCCTGCACTCGTCTCGGCTGCGTTTCGCTGTTTGTTCTAAACACCAGCGCGTCTGAAACATCGTTGTCGTCGGTCCCTGTCCTCGCTTTCGCTGCCGAGCCGCCCCATGCCACCGTCTGGCTGTCCGACGGTCGCTCGCCCTCTAGCCCCGTCCGCTTGGCGTTCGCCCTGGCTGAGGGGTCGGCAGCGCGCACGCCTGAGATCGGAGGCGGCTCTCTCCTCTGGACGGCGCAGGAATCGCTCGCTGCAGCTCTGACACTGCAGTTTGAGGTGACGGCGACGAGGACGTCGGCGACGCCGACGACGACGACTCGTAAAGTCGACTCGTGACGACGATTCGTGGCAACGACGACTCCGGACGACTCGTGACGACGACCACGACAACGACGACGACGACGACGATTACGACGACGACGATGACGACCGTGGCCGCGGCGGCGGTGGCGAGGAGCGAGCAGGCCATCCCGTCGCCCGCCCGCCCCCGAGGACGGCAGCGGCGACGAGCTGATCGTCATGCGCCGCTCCGACGTCATGCGCACCTCCGAGAGGCGCCTGTCGGCGGCCTTGGAGGCCCGGGGGGCCCAAGAGGAGGGAATGGAAATAGGAATGGGGCGGTGGGACGACGTAATGTTGCAATTTGTTCCTGACCGCGTGCGGCTGCACCTACATTGCGACGCCACCTCGACGAACACTCGCCGCCCCCCACATTTCAATGTTGGCATCAGGCGAGTACCCCAAGTCCTGGTGGACAAAATAATGCAAACCAACATTGAAATGTGGGGGGGGGAGTTATTCAGAGATCGATGGAATCTTTTCCAGGTTGGCACGCTGTTTTTCAGAACGCTCAGAAAACTTGCGACAGTTTGTCCACCCGCTGGGCCAATGGCGAAGTCATAAGATATTAAGTCTAGATAGCATCCTGGGCGGTAGCCTCGGTTCAACCTGTCCAAAATCTCGCGCCGCTTCTTGGACACACGCATGGGACCGCAGGACTTGGCCAATTCGCGGATGACGAGCTGGCAAAAAAAACACGAGGATGGGAAGGAGGAGGATGAGGACACTCCCGCGTGGCTCCCAGGGGAGGGGCATGCAGAGGTCGGGATAGTATTTGTGGTGCCTCTGGATCCCTTCTTCGAATGGCAGAAGCAGCGCGATTTCGACGTTGGAGGCGCGACCACCCTTGCTGGGTGATCAGCTTTAATCTTGTAGCTCACGTGGTGGACGCCTGAGGATCATCCATTTGGCAGTGCGCAGCGGCAGCAGGAGGAGGAGGAGGACATGGAGGGAGTTTCCTTTTTTTTGGATTTCGACTCTGGTCAAGCACTGGGCCTGTCAGCAAAGGCTGGCACGCAACTCACACACTATCTGTGAGATAAGAACTCTGCACGGGCACCAGGTGAGGCAAGTCCAGCACAGCACGAATGGACCACCGCATCAGAGCGGACGGGACGCGCCGAAGCGAAGCAACAGGTCCGCAGTTCCCTTCTCAGTGCAGTACCCTCCCTCCACAGCAGGCAGTGAGGGGGCGACAGGCGGATCGATGCACACAGTGCTCGCGTGCCGTGCCCTGCCCAGGCGCAGTGGAGAGAAGGCGGAGGGAGGGAGTGAGAACGCCAAGGCGAAGGGAGTAAGGAGGAGGAGGAGGAGGAGGAGGAGGAGGAGGAGGAGGAGGAGGACTGGGACACAGACGACACCTCCATGCGGCTCAGCAGTGCGCCGCGTGGAGGCAGCACAGAGGGAATTGCCACACGGAGATGTCTGCCAGGGTAAAAATGCAGCCCAGTCGGACGACGCCCATCACGGGCGACGACGGCGGCAGCATATCGCGCAGTGGTCGTTGCGCCCTGGCAGGAGATGAGAGAGATCGCTGCTTCCAACTTAGCGGACGTCAACACAGCCAAGGGTCCTTCGAGCGACAACGTCAGAGGCAGGACCGGGGAAGGGAGGGAGGAAAGAAGGGACAGATGACACCGAGAAGGAGAGAGAGAGCCTGGGGTACAGGTCGACAACCTCCGGGCTCGGTGAACAGTCCGTCGTCCTGACATCGTCGCCACAGGGGACGCCTGGCAGGAAGGGTGAGAGAGATCGAGCCACCGTCGCCAGACAGGGACGCCTGACAGACCCGGCAACAGCTCAAGGGGCGGTCGCCTCTCTCGCTCGCCGGCCCTGGAAAAGGGGCACTTCAAGAGGAAAGCAAGGGCGAAGCGGGGGCGTCCCATCGAGCCAGGGAGGGGGAACGCGCACGCGACAGCCAAGGACGAGATCTGCCTGCGGCACTACTCCACGAGATATATGAGCTGATGCGCGATATAGCATGCAGGCGCAACTGGCGGCGCTTACACGACCAACAGTCTGCGCCGGATTCGCAGATCCTGATGCCCCTCGTCCTCCACACATCTCCTCCTCCGGGCTCCTCCTGGCTTGGCAACCTCTCGGCCAGGCTCGGCCAACCGTGCGTTCGCAAGCAGTTCGTCGAAACGTTCGTCGATCATGCACGGAGCAGGCACGTGTATCGGAGCAGGTACGTACATCGGTCCTGCCCCGACCCACCAGCGCACAGACATGAGGAAAATAGCCTCGGCGATAGCGAGGTCAATGCGGGTGAAAGGTAGCCCAGCTCACGACTCGCCACGGCCGTCTCAGAAAGGGGCCGGCGTACGCGAGTCCACTTCCACTGCAGTCCACCACGTCGGGGATGTTCGGATGGTCCTTTGGAGCAGCTCGGTGAGGGTCGCAGTGGTCTCGCGCTGGAGCAGGTTGGCGCGAGTGTCGTGGATCGCACCTGGGAGTAGCTCAGCTGGCGCCCGATGGTGGCCCTGCAAGCTATGATCACCAGTGGCACCAGGGCATGCCAGGATAGCCCGACGGTCATCATCAGCTCCAGGCGGCTACCCAGAGTCTAGATGGCCTGCATTCGCAGTAGACTCGTGCTCTGGCAGCAAGCGCGGGGTGGGGCCCGTAGGTTGGCTCGCCACCTCCCCCAGGCCCCGACAGGGGACGCTGGGGGGGGAGGGGCTTGCCCACCTCCAGGTTGCAAGGCTCCAGCCCCGGCTCGTGGTCCGCCTCCCGACGATCACCTTGTCGAAGGCCTTCACGGCCCCCAGCTGCTGGAACTTCCCAGGGGCCTGCAGGTAGATTCTACGTCAGCGCAAGACCAGCAGCGACGTAACGGGGCCAGCCACGGCTCCATGGAGCCTCTGGCAGTGGCGAGACCAGGCCGTGCGGGGTGGGGCCCGTAGGGTTGCCTCGCGCCTCTCCCGGGCCCCTTTCGGGGGCGCTGGAGGGAGGGACTTGCCCACACGCGGTACCAGAAGGTCCAGCATCGCCAGCGGCAGAGGCGCCAGTGGACGGAGGAGGAGGAGGAGGAGGAGGAGGAGGGGGAGGAGGAGGAGGAGGAGGAGGAGGAGGAGGAGGAGGAGGAGGACGAGGAGGACGAGGAGGACGAGGAGGACGAGGAGGACGATGACGACCACGGCGACGAGGAAGAGGAGGAAACGGGCAAGCCAGGCGATGAGGGCACGGACGAGGACGAGGAGGATGAGGCGGGCCTTCTTGAAGCCTTCTTGGGACTCTTTGGGGAGGTCTTGGGGTCCTCCTGGAGCTCTTTCGGGTGGTCTTTGGGGCCCTCCTGGGACCTTCTTGGGGGTCCCTTGGGAGCCCTGGATGGCATCTTGGGGCCGTCTTGGAGGCCAACGATCAAAGGGGGTCTCCTAATTTTGCCTCTCCCCCCTGGAGCAATCAAACTCGCCTTCTGGGGAGCCCTTGGGGCGCTCTTGGGGTGATCTTGGGCGCTCTTGGGGCTAGCCTCGTGGACCCTGGGCCTCTTTTGGCCCATCTTGGGGCCATCTTGTGGCTTCAAAAACACATCGGAAGCGAAGAGTCGAGAAGTCCAAACTCAGTGATGGTCCTTAGGTCTTTGATGGACTTGGGCATCCTGGGAAGGTCCTGACGAGGCTCCGAGAGCACTTGGAACCATTTTGTGGCCCTCGTCGGGTCTCTTGGAGGTATGTCGGAAGCTATCTTGAGCCATCGTGGGCTATCGTGAGCCATTTTGGAGGCCATCTTGGAGCATCGGACGCCCTCCTGGGACCATCTTGGGCCACCTTGGACGCTGTAGCACCTCGCGGAACCCCCAAACCTCCAGGGAGGGGGAGGTACATCTCGCGGAAAGGGAGTGGTTTGTGGAGGAGGACGCACGAGAATTTGTCAAACCACTTCAGCCCACAGGGCCGGTGGGATTCACTGGGGATCGTGGCCTCGGGAGCGCGGGGTATCGTGCCCTCGGAAGCGCGACACTGGCATTCTTCGCAAAGGCTTCTGGCCTCGGAGGCGCGACTCTTGCTTGATGTACCAGGCTTGTGGAAGTCGACTAATGGAGAGGAAGCATGCTGCCAAATAATTATTAGACGATAAAAACTTCAAAATTTGAAAAATGTTAAAAGCACTTTTGAAACATTGATAGAACATGCTTTACACATTTCAAACACATCTTTAATTCAATGATAGAATTGTTAGAGTGTCCATTGTCATGGCATCCACAATACTAGACATTCTGGCCTCGGGAGCGCGAATCGAACGAAGTGTGCAAGAGATTCTGGACTCGTGAGCGCGAGCCTGGTGCAATCTACTCAAACAAACCTGGCCTCGGTAGCGCGAGCCTGGCGCCATTTCAAACGATATTGGTTGAGCAAGGCCCAAGCGCAATTTACAAGGAGTCCGGGCGCGGGGGCGTGAATCTGGTGCAATTTTGATGGCACGCGGCATGGAGACGCGGATCTCACATGCTTGGCATTTTTATATGTCCTAGAGCCGCAGGGACTTCTGAGAACCCCAGGGGGGAGGATAAACGGTTCGCTTCTGGCTCCCGACAGTAGGACGCAGGAAGTAGAATTGTAACATTGCAGACTGGAAACTGGAAGTTGCACTGGAAATGCGACTGGGACCGGGGAGCTCAGGTCTGGTACCTACGTTGCTGACGCCCGATCTTTGCAGCCTGGTGGCCCCAAACGGGGGCCGGCGGATCCCTCTTCCCTCCCGCTTTCTCCCCCCTCTCCCGCGCGCGCGGGGTGAGGGAGAAGAGGGTGAGGAGGAGCAAGATGCGGAGGAGTCAAGGCAGGAACAAGTACCCATACCCCGACAGTTGGCGGTTACTAAACGGCCCTGGGCGTTTCCTGAACAGCCTTGCCCTGTTCGACTCCTTCCCTGGGTGCGTTTACTAAACCGCTTCGCTTGTCGGGGTGCTTATTCTTGGGGGTGAGTTTCCTGTTCTCTTAAAAGAACAATAACGCAGTTGGGTGGCTCGTCGAAAAGTCTTTGATGCCCCAGGTGGGTTCGAAAGGCCTCTTTTGGGGAAGTCCGGGGTGAGAGCAGGGGAGGGAGGAGCAGCGACGGGGGTGCAGGCATCAGTAGAGAGGGGGGAGGGAGGTTGCGCGTGGAGTAGGAGAGGGAGGACGAGGATGAGGCAGAGGGGAAGGCTTGGGTACAGTCGGGCCGAGGTATTCGAGGTCGGTTCGGGGAGGGTGCCCTCGTGCTCTTCGTGTTTGTTGGCTGTTATCGTGCGTCTCGGGGCAGGGCACCCTCAGATGCTCTGCTTCTTTTGGCGGGCGGAGGGTCTCGTGTTCTCGGAGGACGTTTTCGTTGGCCCAGGTCCGACTGTCTCAGCAGTGGGGGAGGGAGGAGAAGGCTTGGGCAACTGCGTCTGGGTTCCGGGAGGCTCGAGAGAGGGAGCTCGTGAGGGCTCCGGGTGGGCTCGAGGAGGAGCGGGGGCGGAGTCCCACGGCAGAGGCGAGGGCGCGAAGGGGGAGGGAGGACGAGGCGGAGGGGGCAGGAGGACGCGAAGGAGGGAGGAGGGCGAGCAGGGGGGACGGAGAGAAGCCGCTCCCGCAGGACACGGACTGGGACCAGCCAGGGGAGTGCTCGTCGTGCACGCCGGTGGGCTTCGGATCAGAGGAGCACCAGGAAGTCAGAAGCCCAGAGGGCCCAACACCCACCAGCATGACAGCTTCGACCCCCGTCTGGGGCATAACCGAGTGCGGGCAATAATAAAGGTCCCCCCTTTCCCCCCCTCGAATTTCATTATCCCCGTTCAACAGGATTTAGTTGTGGAGAGGGGCTCGGAGGCCGAACTTTATAATCCACCCGGTAAGTTGCGAATCGAAGTTGCTATCATCTCACGTTGGCTTGCAACAGCATCAAAAACGCTGAGCATGGCCATGTTGGTCTCACCATATCAGCTTCCGCAATCACGAGCGTGTGGCAGGGCTGTGGGATTCTCACCAACGAACGTGCGGCAGAGCTGTGGGATTCTCCTTTGGAAAATCATGGATTATCCCCGCTAGACCCCCGAACTTTACTTATCTCCCGGGTCTTGTTATCGCCCGCGCAGGGTTATGTCTTACCTTCGTCTGCCTGGTACCATCCGAAGCCCGCCTCGTCCTCCCGGTACGACTGCAGTCGTGGCCCGCGGCTCGTGGCAGCTTCGAGAACACATTTCCCGCAGCGCCGTAGTGAAATCGAAAGCGAAGGCTCAGAGCCCCGAATCATCAGGGCTAACTCGGGTCAGGGATAACTCGGGTTCCTTTTTTCGGGAATCCAAACCCGAGTTACCCCGGATAACTCGGGCGCCCAAAAGGCTTCTTCGTGATTGCTGGAGGAAGGTGGGAGGGATTCGGGTGGAGATCCCCACTCCAGCGGCCCATCTGCTCGCCGTGAGCCGGCGGCGCAGGCCTCTCTCTCTGCGATGGCTGCGACGGCGGGACACGATGCTTGAAGGCGGCTCATGGTGGGTCCGATCGTGTGGCGTCGGTGCAGTCCAATTGCATCCTACTCGGGGGCGGAAAAGAGGGGGGTGATGACTAGGGGGGGGTGGATATCATGGCGGGGGGCATGATACTTCCCCAGATGTCATGGCGCCTCTTCTTATTTCAATACGGTCCCGGCCCCCCCGGTGGGCCGCGCACATGCCGCTGGCCATGATTTGCACCCCCCCCTCTTGGACACCCCCCTCTTGGCCGCTCCCGACCTACGGAAAACTGATGCGTAACGGGTGCCCTTGTATCATTGCTTCTCGGCCCATGCTAGCGATTTGAGTCACGGGCCATTGGGTTCCAATGCCTGCTTCCATTTGGGCGTCCAGGGTCCCAGGTTTTGCATCCTTGCCACACATACTTATGATCCAGTCGCACCGTGGCCCGTTCTCGGCATCGGCTTCACCCAGCGGGTGGTCGGGGGCACCACTGCATACACGTGTCGACCACAAGTTTCGTCTCCGGGCTGCGTGGTCTGTCTCGGTTTGTCATTTCGCCGAGCTTGCCTCTCTACCCTACCCCCCTGTTTTTGGGAAGTCCCCCCGGAGCGCGTCAACGTGGTCCCCCTTCCTGGCCGCCCCCCAGTTTCCGCCGGCTCTGGGCTGCGAGCCAGCAGTTCCAGAGCGCACTCGAGCACCATCGGAGTGCCCTGGAGCGTTCTGGCACGGCCGTGGCGCCTGCCACCGTCCGAAGTTCTGCCCCCCCTCGGGGTCACCAGGAGGAGGAGGGGGTCCCCGAGAGGGACACGGGTCGGAGTCCCGAGGACCTCACCCGCTTCGGCCTCCCAGGGGCCTTCCCCGAGCCCCTGGGCCGCGAGCAGGCTCGGGAGGAGGAGCTGCCAGGGCATTTTCTTTTGCGGAGTTGGGCGCCCTGGCGCGGACGGCCGAACGACCCCTGCAGCGGGACACCCTGGCCACGCGGTCGCCGCCGCAAAAAATGCCCGTTCAACGCTGGCGCCGCGCAAACGCGGCGCCGAACAGCGATGCTCCGGGTCCTCTCCGCCCTGGGCCCCTCTCCGCTCTGCGCTGGCTCGCGCCTGCAGCTCTTGGCCCCCGCGGACCCGCTCCTGGTCATCGCGGCTGCATCGCAGCAGCGGCACGCAGTTAAATGCGGCGCAGCTGCCACAGTTACGCAGGGCATGAACAGAGCATCGTTGCTATAAGTAGGGCGTACTGTTTTGAGCGAGCCGCAAGGGCGGCCCGATGTGCAGAAGGTGGTCTCTCAGTGCTCCCCCATCAGGAGTACGAGCTGGCCCCGCTGACCTTCGAGGAGCGACAGGGCAGCACAGCTAGCCTCAGGGGGCAGCCACGACCACCTCCGTCCCCAAATTCTCCCTCTCCTCATGCTTCTGCTCTTCCATCCTAGTCCTTCCTCCCTGCCTCCCCCTCCTCGTCCTGCACTTCCTTGTCCTTGTCCTTCTCCCCGTTCCTGCTCCTTTCCAGTCAGCAAGCTTGCACATTCTGTTTTACTGGAGCATAGATACCGAGCTCCACTGCTGTCCGCTCGGCTTTTCTCCTGCACTTCAGGGCAGGGGTCAAACGCGCGCAAACGCGCCGCCATGTCAGCGGGCACTAAACGCCAGCCCAGGGCCCCGTATCATCAGGAGACGATCGGAAGCCGTGGCCCTGGAAATCATCACGTAAAGATGCAGCCACAAGGCGTCTTGGTCGTCCGCGTCCTTGCACCCAGCGTCGACGACTACTTTTCCGTGCATGGTCTGGCCCTGACGGGCCGTGGAGGTCATGACTTGGGTGTAGGAGATGGCCAGGTCCGTGCGCGTGACCCCTTGCTCGCGAAACCCGCAAGTGGTCGAGGTCTAGGCTGGCCCCGCCGCAACCTTCGAAACTGTCGACAGTTTCGCAGTTCGCACCCCCAAGCATTGAAAGGTCTCATCCGGATTCCAGAGGAACACCATTGTCCTGGACCTTGGACCCCCAGCAGCCTTCAAAAGTGGCGGCAGAAGTCACACTACGCAGCCCCCCAGGCATGGCGAGGTTCAATCTGGATCCCCGTCGGACCCCGCAGCTTTCGGACCTTCCAGAGCCCTCGAGAGTGGCGGTGGTTCTGCCGTTCGCAGCCCTCCGGGCATGGCGAGACCCAATCCGGACCCCTGGAGGCCCGCGCCGTGCCGGAATCCCGAGCAGTCCCCGACAGCGGCGACGGTTCCGGGAATCGCAGCACCCCAGGGACGGCGAGCTTTGGTCCGACTTTGCGGTAAGACCTCGCTCTGCTGACCCCCCTCGGCGGCTTCCCAAAGTGGCGACCGTTCTGCAGTTCGCACCCTCCCCAGGGATGGAGAGGCCCAGTCTGAGTTTGTGGTGAGACGTCGCTCCACAAGACATCCCAGCAGCCTGCCTTCGAACGTGGGGACAGTGCCGAATTTCACACTCAGACACACACACACAAACGCACACACGCACACACACACACACACCAGGCTTGGCGACGTCTCATCCGAATACGCGGTAAGAGCGTTTTCGTTGCCCCCTCTCCAGCAGCCCTCGGCATCGGCCACAGTGTCGCAGTTCGCCCCCCCCCCCCCCCCCCGGGGACGGCGAGGTAAAATCTACGCAAGCGGTAAGACGTCACCCCGTTAGACCCCTGAGCAGCCCTCGGAAGCGGCGACAGCGTCGCAGTTCGCAGCCCCCCATGGATGGCGAGGTCTATTCTGAGTCCACGTAGGACGTCATTGTGCTAGCCCCCCAGGAGCCCTCGAAAGTCGCGATGGTTTCGCAGTTCGCAGCCCCCCAGAGATGGCGAGGTAGTCTGACTTTGCGGTAAGGCGTCGCTGTGCGGCCCTCCCCATCAGCCTTCGATAGTGGCGGCAGCTTCGCTATTTGAAGCTCCAGGGATAGCGAGATCTAAACCAGATTTGCGGTACGGCGTCGCCGCGTTGCCCCCTCCAATCAGCCTTCGAATGTGGCGGCAGTCTTGCAACATGCAGCCCCCCAATGCTGGCGAGGTCCAATCTGACCATGCGGTGGGGCGGCACTGTGCTGGCCCCCCAGCTGCTCTTGAACGCGACGGCAGTTTCGTTGCTCGTTGCCCCCCCCGTGGCGGCGAGGTCCAATCTTTCATCACATGCCGGAGACCCGGCCGGGGCCAAAGACCACCTGGAGCACCCAGGGTCAAGCAGTGGCGAAGCGTCTCGGCTCGCCTAAAGCCCTACCGAACAATGTTCTAAGAACCTCTCGTGGTTTCCACGACATGTTCTTAAGACATGTCTGGGTGATATTGTTTTGTTGTAACACATCGGGTTGTTTATCTAAGAACCTTGTTTTGGTTCTTAGAACATGTTTGGGTTCTAAGAAACTTTCGTGGTAGGACTATAGGAATGCCGGGACGGTCGGTCGCTGCTAAACAGGGTACCTTAAGGGCTGCTTCCCCCCTGGAACCTCCCTGGGGCGCGCCTGGAGCTTCCCCGAAACCTTCCCCGAAGCGTGGACGTCCCAAACGGCTTCCAGTCTGCTCCAAGACGGCCCAAGGTGGCTTCAAAACGGCCCCAGGGGCTCCCAAAACGCCCCCAGACGGCTCCAAGAGAACCTCCTCGAAGGCCCCGGGCGGCGAAAACCGTCACATTCCCGAGGTATGTTGCATTTGTTTAGCGTATTATTTTTGGTTGTCCCACCAGCGTCCCAGGCGGCTCCGAGCAGCTCCCAAGAGCGCCCAGAGGCCGCCGAAAAGGCCCCCAAGAGGGCACCAAGAAACCCAGGATGGCCCCAAGGCGGCCCAAGACGCGCCCATGACGACCCCAAAATGCATCAAGAGGGCCCCAAAAGGCCCCAATGATGCCCCCCACGCGCCCCCCGATCGGCCCTCCGATCGCCCTCGGCGCCAAGGTGGCCCCTGGAGCATCCCAGCGGTCCCTTAAGAGGCCCCCAGAGTCCCCCAAGAAGCTTGCAAGAAGCCCCCAAGAGGCCCCCAGTAGACGCCCGATTGGTCCTCATGAGCCCCCAGAGCGGCCCCCGTACAGACTACAAGATTCTTTCTGCACGCCTCTGATAGAAGACGCTTCCATCCCAGAATGAAAAAGAGGAGGGAAGGGAGCGGGAGCTAACACTATGTATACAAACACTCTCCCCATCACTCCTCCTCCGCCTCCTCCTCCTCCCCCTCCTCCTCCTCCTTTTTCCATTCCTTCTCCTTATAAATAAATCCTCCCTGTCGCACCCGAAGGCCAGTTTTTTAGGCTGGTCGGGCGTTTCGCATGAGACTTCCTCATCATGGATAATTCTGAAGTTTAGCAAGTGGCAACATTTTCACATATGGAGGGCGGGCCGTTTTCAAAATGTGGCTCTCGCCCTAGCGCCGCGCATATTCATTTTAAAAGTTTGCAAGGGTTTCACGGATTGAGGGCTGGTCGTTTTCAAAATGTGGTTTTCGCCTCAGCGCTGCGCACAGTCGTTCTAAAACATGCAAGATCTTCACGGATTGAGGGCGGGTCGTTTTCAAAATGTGGCTCTCGCCTCAGCGCTTCGCACATTCGTTTTAAACACTTGCAAGAGTCTCATGGATTGAGGGTAGGTCGTTTTCAAAATGTGGTTCTCGCCTTAGCGCCGCGCACATTCGTCTTCAAATTTGCAAGAGCTTCACGGATTGAAGGCGGCTCTTTTTCAACCTGTGGTTCTCGCCTTACATAGTGCCGCGCGCATTCGCTTTAAACGTTCGCAAGAGTTCCACGGATTCCCATGACCAACGTACCACACTTTGTGCTTTGGAAGGAATCAGGTTTATGCGGGCGCAACAGTTATGCTGGTTCGCTGTTCTGAAGTCCCCAAACAGCGTTATGGTACGATTCTGGATCGTCAAGACGCGGAAGTCAGGTTGATATGTGGCGTTGAAATCCCGAGAACAATGTTTGGGCACGCTTCAGGATCTTCAAACTGTTGTTTTCCAACGATGCAGTTCCTTCAATGGAAATGAACCCTTGTAGGGGCCTGTGAAGAGGGAAATTGGAGAGAGGGCTAATTCCAACATCGTTGATGACTCTTGGGTTTCCACTGGTCCTCCTCCTTCTCCTCCCGCCGAGAGACGTGCGCTCCTCGTCCTCCTCCTTCTCCTCCTTATCCTCTTTCTCTTCCTCCTCCCATTCCTGCATCCTCCCCCTTCTCCCTCCCCCACCCCTCTGTCCTCTCCCATGCTTCCTCCGTCCGCCTTCCTCCTCTCTCACTCTATTGCTCTCCTCATTTCCTGCTCACTCCTCCTCCTCCCTCCACCCTCCTCCGTTTCTATTCCCCCGTTTTCGTTCCCACTCCCACCTTCCTCCTTTCTCCTTCCCTCTCCTTCTCATTCCTCCTTCCTGCTCCTTCCTCGTCCTCCTCCTCCCCTTCCTCCTCCTCCTCCTCCTCCCCTTCCTCCTCCTCCTCTTACCCACCCCCTCCTCGTCCCCCTCAACAAGACAACATATGAATACTGTTCTCCTCTCTCCCTCGAATCTGTCCTGAGAGTATTCGCCTCCCTTCCGCGTCTTGTTGTCTACGCATAGGATTTGCGCGAATTGTTTTTTGATGTTGATTTACAATCCGCTTGTTTCCAGTTGTTCAAAAGTGTATTCTCGCTGCAGCGTGGGCATCATTTTCGGATCGGCGCTGTGCTCAGGTCGTTCAGACAGGCGCTCGCGCCAGCGTGGGCGACTATTCTGGATCCCATATTTCTCGCATGTCCCTTAGGTCTCGCCGGCCTGTTCCCACAGGTCCCGCAGGACCCGCAAATGTCGCAAGTCGTCCCGCAGGTACCACCAGTCTGACGTATCCCACATATGTCGCAGGTCTCGCATGTTCCGCAGATCCCACAGGTCCGACAGGTCCCGCAGGTCCCACAGGTCCCAGAGGTGTCGCATGTTCCACAGGTGCCACAGATGTCCCTCAGGTCCCACAGGTCACGCAGGTCCCGCCGGTGCCACGGGTCCCACAGCTTCCGCAGGTCTCACAGGTCCCACAGTTCCCGCTGGCCTCGCAGGTCCCACGGGTGTCGCAGGTCTCACAAGCACCACAGGCGACAGAGTTCCCCCAGGTCGCACAGGTCCCACAAGTTTCCCTTTTCCGACTGCGCATACCACGATGGGTTTTTCTGTGGAGGCCCGGGTCGGCTATGTTATATGTCTGCAGATAGAGAAAACGTCTGCGTAATAGGAAGGGATGGGAGGGACAGATCGGATGTCAGATATTGCGCGAGCGCACCTAGCTTGTCCCCTTCATCTGTCCGAGATCTCCCAGGAGACTCCCAGAGTTGTGCAGAAGCTTCGAGAGGGCCCTACGACGGTCGCAGGAGGCCCCCAGGCTAACCCAGGAAGTCTCCAGCAGCACAGTGGGGCCCCAAGAGGCCGCCAGAGTGCCCGCACAGAGCTTCCAAGAGTGCCAAATCAGTCAAGTCCAAAAAGAGTCCCAACGTGCTTTCTTTTCTTTTCTTGACTAGAATTCCCATTAGTTGCGAAATTGTGGCTCCAAGAGGGCCTCGGAGGCCCAAATGGTCCCGAAGAGAGCTGCATTATTGCCCAGGGATGGCCTAGGACTGCCGCGAACAACAAGCCTCAATTCGACTTCAGACACCCATGCGTGAGCTTCCAAGCCAAGGACCCGACCATCCAGATACGGCCTCTCTGAGGCGCTATACGCTTGTCCACATGGCGAGTGGAACTTGAGCGCTCGCGAGGCGCGCGCGATGGTACTGGTCTGGATTGAGCCAAGGCGTCACTGTGCTGCCGCGCCCCCAGCAGCCCTCGAACTTGTCGCCAGTTTCGCAGTCTGCCTCCCCGAAGGGATGCCGAGGTCCACCCTGAATCTGCGGTAAGGCGTCACTGTGCTGCCCCCCCACCACCCCCGCTAGCCTTCGAAAGTGGCGATGGTTTGGCAGTTCCCAGCCCCTGGGGATGGCGAGGTCTAGTTTGAGGTGTCACAGTGATGCCCTCCCCAGGAGCCTTCGAAAACGGCGACCCTCTCGCAGTTCGCAGCCACCCAGGAGTGGCGAGGTCTAGTGCGAATCAGCGGTGAGGCGCCACTGCGCTGGCCCCCCAAACTGTTTTCGAAAGTGGCGGCGGCGGCAGTTTCACAGTTCGCAAGCCCCCATTGATGGCGTGGTCTAATTTGGAACTGCGGCAAGGCTTCACCATGCCTTCCCCCCAGCAGCCTTTGAAAGTGACGACCGCGTCGCAGTTCGCAGCCCCCCCCAGGTATGGAGAGATCTAATCGGAAGATGTGGTGAGACGTCTTTGTGCTGGCCCCCCCCCCTGCAGCCCTCGGAAGTAACAACAGTTTTTCAGTTCGCAGCCCCCCGGGGATTGCGAGGTAGTAGGAATGGAGGAGGAGGAGGAGAAATGAAAGGAACACGAGGGATGCGGGAGGAGAAGGAGTAAGACGTGGGGACCACGATGCTCTGTTCGAAGCCAGAACCCAATGGAGGGTTGGGAAAAGTGATGCCCCTAAGTGCTCCGTTCATTTGGTAATGCTTAGTGGGCGGAGGATGGACGGCACTCGAAGTGTGGACCTGCACCTTCATCTAGGGATCCTCCTCTTGTGGGGCTCATCACTTCCACCATCAGGAGGAACGTGGCCCACCGTCACCAATAACCCGTCGGCGGGGGGCCGACCCATTGGGCGGTGGCATGACCGAGCGCCTCCCCACCCGCGACGACGCTCGGGCGTGCCACCGCCCAGGGCTCCCCCCAACACAATGGGTTTTCGGTGGCGATGGTCAGTGCTTCTCCGCTGGCAGCATCGGCCCGAAACGTCCTGAGACTTCTGTCTGCGATCCTCCCCGAGGGAGCGGTCGGCGCCCCCCCAACATACTTACACTATGTGCTCGCCCCCCCCCCCAGGGGCGACGCGCGCACCGAGAAATCTCATGGTATATGCGTCGTGGCGGGCGCTTTCTGGCCACACCCCTCGAGAAACGATGTACTATAAGATGGGTATACTACATGTTCGGGTCGGACGCGCACCTCCAAGGCGGACATATAGTATCAGCACGTCTCTGTGCGTCCCAAGCGGGTCCACCCTGGGGTTCAGCAGGTGGTTCCGCCAGGGGGGCGTGCCCGCTCACCCCCCCACACCTGCGCTGCCCGCCGCGCTCCCTGCCCGCTCGCGCCCCATCGCCGTCCTTGTCGCACTCCTCGTCCTTGTCATCGTAATTGTTCGCCTTTCTGTTCCTGCTCCTCCTCCTCCTCCTCCTCCTCCTCCTTGTCCTCCTCTTTTGTCCTGCTCCTCCTCCTCTTCCTCCTCACCCTTCTCCTCCTTTTCCTCGTCGTCTTTGTTCTCCTCCTTCTCCCCTATCCTCCTTCCTCTTCCTCCTCCTCGTCCTCACCCTCCTCCCACGCAGGGAGGGCGGTGGAGACATGGTGGTGGTCGTGGCAGCCAGCTCCTGGGATGGCTGGAGCGCGCCCCAGGGCGAGGCGGCCGCCTGCTCCGGGCGCAGACCGAGCAAGTTGGGCGGAGCCGCCGCGGTCACGCCTGTCCTCACTCCCACGGGGACAAAAGGCCCCGGGGCAGGGAGGAGGAGGAGGAGGAGGAGGAGGCGGAGGCGGAGGCGGAGGAGGAGGAGGAGGAGGAGAGGAGGAGGAGAGGAGGAGGAGGAGGGGGAGGGGGAGGGGGAGGGGAGGGGGGGAAGGGGGAGGAGGAGGGAGGAGGAGGGAGGAGGAGGAGGAGGAGGAGGAGGAGGAGGAGGAGGAGGTAGGTCCACCCATGGGGGGGCCACCCCCTTGGGGGCGGCGGGGGTGCCTGCCGGCTCCCGGCCAAAGTGCGCCGGGCTACGCGGACACGCGGCCGCCCAGAGGTTGCTTGCCAGCGTATGGTCATTGCATATTATTTATACCATGCACATCGTCGCTGCCCCTCCCAGTCTCTCGATTGTTCGGCACGTGCTGCACGTGCCCAGATGCTGCAGCAGGCTGAGGTCGAGCGGTGATGACCTATGGATTTCCCTGGGCTGCGTGCGAGGAGGAGGAGGAGGACCAGTGCAAACCCAAGGCTCCTCAACAACACTGCAATCAACCCTCCCTCCAAGCTGCCTCGTCATTGGCCCTGGAAGGTTCGTGTTCATTTAAGGAGGTGCCACGTTGGAAGACAGCGCCTTCTGAAAATCCTGAGCTGTTCCAGAGCACAAGGCCTGGGACTTCAACGCCGCGAATCACCGTTACTGTTGCGTCTTGACCATCCTGAGTCGTGCCAGAACTGGGACTGCAACACCACGAATCAACGTAATTGTTGCGCCTCGACAGTCCGACATCGTGCCAAAACACAACTTCAGGGACGCTAGCCTTGATAATCCTTCAAATAATTGTTTACTCTCAAGGCGAATGCGCGAGGCACTAATGCGAGAGCCATATTTTGAAAACGAACCGCCCTCCATCCGTGAAGCTGTTGGAAGTTGTTACGTTGAGTGTGCGCGGCGCTAACCAAGAGCCACGTTTTGAAAGCAACCCGCCCTCCATCCGTGACACTTTGCAAATGTTTGGAACGAATGTGCGCGGCGCTAAGGCGAGAGCCATCTGTTAACAACGGCCCGCCCTCCATCCTTGAAGCTTTTACATGTTTTCATGGCGGATTTGCGCGGCGCTAAGGCGAGAGCTACGTTTTTTGAAAATGGCCCGCCTTCATCAGTGAAGCGATTGCAAAAGGTAAGCTTCAGGATCATAAGCGATGAGGAAGTCTCAGGCGAAACGCCCGGCCCGCCCCTTCGACCGGCCTCGGGACGCGACACGGAGAAGTTCTGTATATGGAAAAGGAGTGGAGGAGGAGGACTGGTACCTTGGATTCTTGGGGCTTCGGGAGACCACCAGGCCAGCTTCTGGGGACATCGACGCCGCCAGCCAGGACCTCCGCAGACCCCGTGTACTCCTCGAACCATGGATCCGGAGTCTGATTTGGATATCTTGGGGCGCCTTCGCCGCCGCAGCTGGACCTCCCCCAGAGTTCCTTGGCCATGGCGCACGCTCTGGGGTCCAGCTTTGGTTCGGCCTCTGGGCGCTGCGACCACAACCGGACGGGGCTAGGACGAGGATAGATCCGTTCCACAGCGTTCCAGAACGCTCTCAGAGCGTTTCGTAATGCGTTGGGAAGGCCGCGGACGCCCGAGACATCCTCCAGATATGGTCGTTTGCCGCCACCCGATGTTATCCTCGTCCTGGCTTCGTCTTGCACAGATGCGACGGCCGTTCTGCCGCGTGCGCTCGGACTCTGGAACCCAGTTTCGGGCCGGGGGTCGTCAAGGAAGCGGCCGGGCGCGGGACAAAGCACGGTCTATGGGGAGGTGGCGAGAGTTTTGGGTGGCACGTCGCAAAACAGATCTTGACGTCTGACCTCCAGACAGCTGTGACTTTGCTGCCCTTCTGTGGGCCTCCTGGGGCTCCCTCGTCGCTGGGGCTGGATTCGCCTCGGGACCTTGGCCGCGGCGCGCTCCTCCATGAGAGTCCTCGGGTTGTCGAGGGCCCGATTTTGAAGTGTCCCGGACGTCCAGGTGCCGTGAGAGCAACCACCTTGGGTGTGCTTGCTCGTGCCGCCCGCTCTTCCTTCCTCCCCTCCTATGTGCATGATGGCCAAGTCGCTACAACGGTGCCCCCGTTTAGTCAGCTTCTTCCGCCAGCGCAGACGACCCCTGCCCAGCCGCCGACGCAAAAACGTGTGCCTGTCCGCGGTCCGCACCGCGACGTGCCCGCATGCAGGCCCCCTTGTGGCCCGAGCAGAGCTGGCCCTGGGCTTGGGTTCCAGAGCCATCCCCTTGGTCCTTGCCGAGAATCACACCGCCGGCGGCCTGTTCGCCCATCGCTCTTTGAAAGCGGGTCCAGATCCCACTGGTTTCCTTGCCCCTTGCTTTCCAAAAGGGCGGGCGGTACAAACTGCCTTCCCAGACCCCCGACGTCATCATTTTTCATATCGTCGACGAGGTCCCGACCCATTCCCTGGGACCGGCTCTTCATCCTGAATTGTTTTTGTTGATGGCCCCGAGGCTTTGTCAGGGCCCCCGGAGGCTGGAATAGCAACGAAACCTGCCGCCGTGATTCATGACCCGCGGGGTCTGTGTTCAACAGCGTGTTGCTCCTCCTTGTTTCTGCCATCCACAGCCGAGCAGTGGGTGGGCACTTACCACTGCCAATCGCGCATGCATCTGTGCAGGACGATCAATGGAGAGGAAGCATGTTACCAAATAATTTCCAGATGCCTGAAACATGGGTGAAGCATGCTCTAAACATGGAAGACACATGCTTAAATCATGTTTAGACCATGTTTCCGACGGTCTAAACACATTTGAAATTCAACGATAGGACTGTTAGGGTGCCCATCGTCGTGGCATCCGCAGCCGTGTCTGACCGGCTCTGCCCTGGCGCCGAGCTCCTGCCCGGGCGCCAGGTGGCCGCGCCCGCCGATGTCGTGGCCCACGAGCGGGCCCGTGGCCTCTGGAGGCCCAGCGGCGGGGGTGTGTCGGGTCGGGCGAAAGGGGGGGGGGGTTGGGAAAGGGGGGGTTACGAAATCTGCTGCATGCAGCTGGTTTCGGCCCCGCCGCCGGGCCCACTCCTCGATGCATGGGCGCCTCCCGGCGCCGGGAGGCGCCGGGAAAGTCAGCTACGTGAGCTGATTCTCGAACCCCCCCTTTGCTATCCCCCCCTTTCGCCCGGCCCGAGTGTGGTTTGCGATCGACACCGATGGGGCCTGAGGACCATGACACTGTCCTCGTCGGGCTCGAGTGGGGGATGAACTGCAGAATCGAGTTACCCCAAAATGGATGTCCCGTCGACTCTGCGAACATACGTAGAATGCTCGTAGATCTACGGAACAAGTTTCGCATGTTTCATGGATTCGACTGGGAAATCAATTCTGGGGTAAGTCAATTCTGTAGTCGATCCCCTACTCGACGGGCCTCAACGGGGTGCGGCGGAGAGCTCTGTCGAGGTCCCCGCCCGCCCCCCAGTGTGCCGGTTGCAAGCCACATCTTTTGCAAGCCACACCTTTCGGACTCGCCGAATAGCGCCAGATATCCGCGCCTCAGAACATGAGGCGTCTTATGTGCCGTCACTTTTGCCGTAGGCTCGCGTGGCGTTCCTGGCTTGTCTGGGGCTTTTCTGGTTCACGTTGCGAAGCCATTGGGTAACTTGTTTTTTGGCGGCGGAATTCTCGGGCTTGTGAGCTCGCTTCTGGCATTTTCCGCGATGGCCACGGTATGCCCCACCGCTTGCGGCACAGTCCGCCTTACAGCGCCCCTGGTTCGGCTACGGGAAGACTCTCAGACACGCGGCGTCTCGATTTTTCGAAACACGGGTCCCCGACCTCTCTCGACCACTTCCGAAACAGTCGAGGCGCTGGGCGTGGCTAGGGTTCCGTCCACGGCACGGGGCCCTGGAGGTCTTGCCCCGCCCCAGTGGGCCGTTGTCTGAAGAGGCAGAAGCGCCAGAACCACACGGTCGGACATTTTAGGATAGCTTGTTACTCCGCCAGTTCTGGCCTGCCACGTTTCGGGGCGACGCGCTATCCTGCGGAGAGTCTCATGCTTTCAGAGGAGGAAGAAGCTCCTAGGCCTCCCAGATGGGGTCGGAGTAGATGGGGTCGGAGGATCGCGCCGCATCGGCGAGGCGGCGCGATGTGGAGCCCGATATGCCTCCCGCCGATGGCGCCGATGCGGCGCGATCCTCCGACCCCATCTATTCTAGGCCTCCAAGATGGCATCCGAGTAGATGGGGTCGGAGGATCGTGCCGCATTACCTGTGCATCGGCGACGCGGCGCGATGTGGAGCGCAATGATGTCCCCGCCGACGGCGCCGATGCGGCGCGATCTTCCGACCCTGTATACTCGAACCCCATGTAGGAGGACTGTAGTTTTAATACGCCTCGTCCAGGGGTCCTGGGCTGCACCCCCGAGAAACGGTCAAATCGCAACGAGACGGGTCAGATCACAACAGATTTGGGTCAGATCCCACCAGGCAAGGAACCCGAAACGGTTCAGATCCCAACGAATATGATTTAAGCCTCCAACCGCCTTCTAGACGGCGCCTCTACGGCTTCGTGAACGATTTCGGAGGCTTTCTCCTGAGTTTCTTAAGGTCTCCTGGGGATTGAGGATTTCGGAGAACTGTTGAACATTCTGGAGAATTGCAAAGGATTCCCGCAGGATTCCTGAGGAATTCTTGAAGGATTCCTGCAGGCTTCCGGATGGATTCCTGATGGCTCCTGGGTATTCGGGAAGATTCTAGACGATTTCTGAAGGACTCTTCCGGATTCCCGAAAGATTGCTGAAGGATTCCTGGATAATTCGTGAAGGGTTCCTGCAGGATTCCTGGGGATTCCTCCTCGACTTCATGGGGATTCCTAGGGATTCCTGAGGATCCACGAAGGATTCCAGAAGACTCCTGAAGGATTCCTGCAGGATTCGCGGAGACTTTCTCAAAGGATAGGATTCCTCACGGGATTCCTGAAGGATTCTTGAGGATGTCTTGATGGATTCCTGACAGATTCCTGCAGGATCCTTGAAGGACGTCTCAATGTTTTTGAGGATGCATCAGGGAGTCCTGAAAGATTCCTGAAGGATGCCTGGAAGATGCCTGGAAGATTCCTGAAGGAGCATTTCTGAGGGATCCCTGCAAGAGACCTGAAAGATTCTTGCAGGATTCTTGGAGGATTCCTTAAAGATTCTCGGAAGGTTCATGTGGATTCTTGAGGATTCTTGTTGGCTAGGTTCCTGTATGATTCCGGAGAATTCCGTCTTGCGGGGCTCTTGAGCAATCTGAAGGCCGTTTTGAAATTCTGTGAGCTTACATAGTGTTGTTTCGGAGTACTTCGAACTCCCGTGTCCGTGGGCAGTGGAACGGTAGAGATCCCAAGGGTGCACGATGAAATCCGAGGGAGTCCCCTTACGGGATGCCAGCCTGTCGTCATTGCCAAGACGATCACACTAACAATTTGAAACACATCTGTTTCCGCCCGTTGGGATCTGAACCGTTCCCGGTTTCTGGCCCGTTGGGATCTGACCCGGTCTGTTGGGATCTGGCCCGTCCCGTTGGCATTTGGCCCCGTCGCCTGCACCCCCCAAGGAGCCGCGCACTCACGGGAACCGCCCCGTGGGACGGACGGGCGCAGTGTGCGCTTGTGGCCCCCCTCGCGAGGCAGGGCGAGCAACTCGTCGAAGGGCTCCGCAGGGAGCCGCAGACCGAGTGGCGACGTGCCGGGCGCGGAGCTGCCAGGGCTGCAGCCCGGGATGCTCGTGACACCCCCCGCGTAGATCCTTGGCGCCGGCCTTCTCCCGCTCTCTCCCTGGGCAGTTTTTTTTTGTTCCGGCAGGGAGCAACAGGGTGCCTCGCCTGCCCTCGCAATGCCGTCTTCAGAGTGCGTTGGCGTGCGAGCGTCTGGTAGTCAATTAGAGCGCGCCGATGCAGCGTCCATGCGCGCCGATTTGGCGTCGATTCCGTGCATTCGCGTCCATTAGCGTCGGTCAGGGTGGATTCGCAAGAGCCAGCCAGATGGTTTGGGAGGCTCCCATGAGTTGCCACCGAACTTTCCTTAGACAGTCTTCCAGGCCACCCACATGCAGTCGAGCTTGATTAAAGAGTCGACCCTGCCAAATCAAGGGTACCCTTTGTGTCCCGGGTTTAGCTGCACATGCCTTCGACATTCCTGTGGCAATTTGGCCCTCGGAAGGGTATTGCGTCCTCTCGTGTGTCCACTCCAGTCAGTCTGTGGGTGAGGAACAGGTGGGGTCGGAGGATCGCGCCGCATCGCTGATACATCGGCGATGCGGCTCGATACGGAGCCCGATGTTCGTCGCACTGGCGTCGCCGATCTATCGCCGATTCCATCGTCGAGGCATCTGTGATGCATCGGCGATGTGGCGCGTTCCTCCGACCCCATCTCCTCGGACACTGCATGGGAGGCCTTTGTGTGTGTTTGCAGCGCCAGCACCGTCAGGGCGCTGTCCTCCTCCCCCTCCTCCTTCCCGGCTGCCCTGCGACAGAAGAGGAGGGGCAGATGGGGAAAGAGCGGGAACCTTTCGGGGTTAAGTCGGGCGTGTCCCCCATACAGGGGGATTTTCAACGAAAAATAAAAAATGCTCAAAACATATGCTAAAATGGCCAACAAATATTCAAAACATAGTCCCCAGACTATTGTTTGACTCTTTAGGGGTATTCCCCCTGTAGAGGGACAGGCCCGACTTCACTTTGGAGAGTGGGGGCAGGAGGAGGAGAAGGAGAGGTCCAAGCCGGCCAGCTCGAGCGAGCCACGGGGCCTCACCCACTCTCCCACCGCGTGTGGCTCAATGCCGGTGAGGCTCGAGTCGTGGGACTGCCGCGCGCCTGGCGGCGAACGGAAGGCGCCCGCTCGCAAGTGGTCCCGCTTGTGGCGGCATGGCGCGCGAGAGAAGGAGTCCTATAGCGACATGGCTTCTGGCGACATGGCGACAAGGCGCGCGACATGGCTTCTGGCCCCTGCGAACGCGCAGCTCCTATTGTGAGGAGGGTGCCGGCTCTGCCGCGCGAGAGCGACATCCCGCTCGTGGGCGTTTCGGCCCCGCTTCCAACGATCATTGGCGATGGGGCAGCTCAGAACACTCAAGGATTGACGAAGAATGTGCCCGAACAGCTCGCCTAGATACTGTAGGATCAGCGTTCGAAAGACATGCGCCACGCCCAAGCGGCGGGAACACAATTTTCAGTAAACTTTGGGCGGCGCATGGGTGCGAGTGGCATCACGTCGCTTCTCTCGCGCGTGGCCCTTGTTTCGGCGATATTGGTAACCAACAGACGTGCGCAGCTCCGACGCGGGACCTAATTTTCCAGGAAGATTCCGCGCGGTGTCGAGGCGGCGCAGGCGGTTCGCCCTGTGGACGCGCAGTGTGCGCCTGAGCTCACTTCTGCGACGCATGGTGCAATGTCAGCGACAGGTCCACCGTGCACCGTGCTGAGGGGGAAGCGCGAATTTGGGCTCCAGCCCTCCCTGTGCCCTCGTGGTGCTTGCTGCCGCCAGGCGTGCCCCCAGGTTGCTGCGCCTGCTCGGCGGAGCGATGTCTGACGCAGACTCCGAGGGGGCATCGCTCTGCGTGGGTACTGCCGGGTGTGCAGCTCTCGCCACCGCGGCTGCGCCCCCACCGGGTCGGCGGGGCGGCGCCCCGGCGCAGACCCGGGCGGGACCTCGCCCGCCCTGCATGTTGCCGAGCGTGCAGCGGCCACCACCCTTCGGCGCCTCTGGTGCCTTGGCATCGCTCGGACGTGTGCATTTTTTTCTCGGCGAGAACCATCGAGGACCATGCTGGACCATCGAGCAAAAAAAAAAAACACGCACGAAACCCACAAACGCACGGGAAATGGGCGTCCGAGCGACGGCAGGAGACGCCCTGCGCAGGCCCAGGTGGGACCGCGCCCTCCCCGGCTGTGGCCAGGCGCGCAGCTGCGCGCGCGGAGTGTGGAGGCGGGCCCTGCGCAGACCCACGCAGGACTTCGCCCGACCCTGGTGCTGGAAGGGAGTGCAGCTGTCGCCTCCTTGCTGGGCCATGGGGGGTCCAGCGGGCGTGCGTGTCTCCACGAACACATACACTGGCGCATCTCGAGGCCGAGGGCCTCATCTTCTCTCCCGGTCTCACGAGGCCCGGAAGCTTGTGTCTGCACTGGTGGTTCGTTCGTTCGTTCTGGGGGTCTGGCGGGGTGGCCGTTTCATGCGCACCAAGACGGGAGCTCGCTATCCTTGGGCGCTGCCAGTCGTGCAACAATTACCGCCTCTTTGCTGGGCCATTGTGGGTTCACCGGACCTGGCGGTACGCCTGGGTTTTCCAGTCCCGTGTGCAGAGGTGTATGCCAAAGGCCACCGAAGTGAGAATTTGGCCAGCCACAGGGATCGTTCCAGCATGATTCTCCCCGCATTCCTCGCATGCATTTGCTTCTCGTCCCCCTCCATGTCATTCCCTGCCTATTCCTTGTCATCGTCCTCGTCCTGGCACATAGGGAGTGTTCCAGAAGGAGCCTCGCCTTCGAAGTTTCAAAGGGGTTGGCATCTTTTCCCCAGCGGAATGCCGCGGAAGGGCGGCGGATGGCGGCGAAAGTAAGACGAGGGCGGCTCCGAAGGCGGAAGCCGGAGGAAGATTGGCGGAAGCTGGCGGAAGTACAACATGCGCACCCCAAAATAATGATTGTGGGTTCAGAGTTTTGGGAATCGACCATATGGTGTTGTACCAAATTCGGCCCCATTTGGCGGGCGCCGGCACGGCTCCCGGTGCTCCCGCATGTCTCGCTTCCCTGACGTCACTGTCGTCACTCGCGCTGGCTCGTCCCCTTGTGTTGCCACTCGTTTCGGACGGGTTGGTTCGGTAGCAAAGCATGGGAGCCTGGTATGTCTTCTAAATTTTATTTTCTAAGCGCCGATTTCGCGTCGATTCGCATCGATTTAGCATGGGCTAGCGTCGATTCGAGTCGATTGGCGTCCGTAGCCTCGATTCGCAAGAGCCAGCAAGATGGCATGGGAGGCTCCCATGACCTGCCGCAAAAGGTTGGGTAATGGTGCGTCCTCGGCTCTGGATGGAGCCGGCTAGGAGGAGGAGGAGGAGGAGGAGGAGGAGGAGGAGGAGGAGGAGGGGCCAGGAGGAGGAGGAGGAGGAGGAGGAGGAGGAGGAGGGGCCAGGAGGAGGAGGAGGAGGAGGGGGGCTGAGGTTGCCCAGCACTGGTTCTGGCCAGGAGAAAAAAGCGGGTCCCCTCGTCGCCACGGTTGGCGGCGGATCGAACGAGTGGTCAGCGATGCAGTGAGGGGTCCATCAGGAGGGAGAAAAACACACAGACACAATTAATCGTCGATTCCCCAGAACATATGGAAAAATATGGGAAGTGGGGGGGAAGACAAAACCCAGAAAATATGGGAAAACATGGGGAGTCTTTTTATTTGTGTGTATTTACTTGTGTGTCCCAGGGCCCCTTCGGTCCAGGGATTCAGCGAATTTTCCCTCATCCCCCCCGTGGACCGATTCTATCTGGGCTTATCAAGCTCGGATCCTCTGGCCGCGTTCAACCTCGGGGATTGCTCGATGGAAGGCGGGGCGCTACCATAATAGCGACAGGGTTGGGAGCGGGAGCATGCAGCAATGAGAACAACAGGATGCGCAAGGGGGGAGGACGAGGAGGCGGAAGAGAGACGATAAGGGAGGGGGCGGAGGATGATGAGGATCAAGAAGGGTTGAATGGTCGGATGAGTCGGAGGGGTAGGAAGGGCAGGAGGAAAAGCAGAGGAGGAGGAGGAGGAGGAGACGCAGGTTGATCTCCCCCTCCTCCTCTTTTAGTCTCTCTTTTCCATCCTCTACCGGCCGCAATCGGGGAAGCACCTACGTACCGTCAGGCAGGCCTCCACAGCCTTGATCGGCCTCCTCCGTCTCGTCTCACCACTCCACTACACAGCGCGCGCGCGCCGTTCAATGCCTAGAAGCTCACTGTCTCACCTCGTTGTATCTGTCGGTCGCGCGGCGTTCCGTCACGGCGTTAGGTGGCTGGAGTTGCCATGAGCACCCGCTTGAGCCTTTTTTTTCACGCTGCTCGGACTTTGCTCGGATGATCGCAGCGTCTACAGCGCTTGAGCCTCCTCCTCCTCCTCCTCCTCCTCCTCGTCCGCCTCCTCCTCCTCCTCCTCCTCCACCACCACCACCTCCTCGTCCTCTTCCGCCTCCTCATCGTCCTTCCTCTCGTCCTCCTTCTCCGCGTCCTCCTTCTCCTCGTTGTCCTGCTCGTCCTCCTCCTTGTCTTCTTCCTTCTCCTCGTCCTCTTCCTCCTCGTCTGGGAGCAGCCGCAGTGGCGCGAAGGCGCTTGCGCCTCACGGTCGGGGCTGCAACGAGCTGCCCTCCGATCCAGGGGGAGAGGGGAAGGAGGAGGAGGAGGAGGAGGAGGAGGAGGAGGAGGAGGGTGGAGGGTGGAGGGTGCAGGGAGGAGGGTGGAGGAGGAGGACGGGGCAGAAGAAGAGGAAAAGGATGAGGGGGGAGGGAAG